TTGTTTCAAAACATAGTATTCCCACAACAATAAACTTTGTTACCACAAAACTATAATTTTCAAAAAAAAAAAAAGTTAAAATTATGGCTATGGCTATGGCTAGGCCTAACATTGGAGCGTGTTGTTTGTAAACTTTGTATTATATTGTAGCCACGGTATCCCTTAGCTAATACATTCAATACTTTATGTTTTCTTACCTTGTTGTACCTGTTACGTACTCAAAAATTACTATACTGTGAACGAAACATTTAGCCATTATTACGCAAAAAATATTATATTAGGATCTAAAAAAGAATTACAATTTCCTATAGTATAAAATTAGAAGCCTGACACATACCAGCTGACTTCAAATGTTAAATTGACATTATTGCAAACACTTTTAAAAAAACATTTTAATCAAAGTGTACAAACTTTTACCTACTCTAATATTTAAAGCGCTGTTAATTTTTAAGTTTTCAAATACTGTAAATACCAATTCGAAAAAGTTGTAAAATTGAATTTTTTATGAGATTATGTTAGGTTTGTGTTGTGTGATAGTGACTTATAATTACTAATGCACGGTCCATAAGCCCACGCTCGCTATACACACTGCAAACTCTAAAAACAAGCCTAATATAGATGCTTAAGCGTACTAAACCAAACCCTACTGGGCTCAAGTCTACGAACTGTAACTTTCTTGGGTCTATTAAATTTTAGCATACTAAGAATAAGCTTACTAAGCACAAACCTCAAATGTTGCAGCTTACTAAATTAAGCCTACTAATCCTGAGCCCACTAATTGTTAGCCTCCTAAGTTAATAAGCCTACTAAGTCCAAGCTTAGTAAGCCCAAGTCTAATATTCTACAGCCTACTAAATTAACTCCTACTAAGCTAAACCCTAGTAAACCAAAACCTACAAAGCTTAACTCTACTAAGCCTATGCCTACTCAGACTACTCTTGGTAAGCCTTTCAGCTTAGACACGCCTAAACCTTTAAAACCTATGCCTGTTAAGACTATGCCAAAAAACGTAATCTTCGTAACACAGAGTCTACAGGATTGGATCCAATGTAATATTATGGTTTTATATAATACTTGCCTCGGTGTAAAACGACCCAAAAAAATGACTGCGAGTGCTGGATCCTGATTCTAAATTTCTGCGAGCCTACAAAACCTAAGACTTTAAAGCTTAATTTCTAAGCCTAAGCTTGTTTAACATAAACTTGTTACATATCGGACTACTAAACCTAAGTCTACTAAGCCTAAGACTACCAAGCCTATGTCTACTAAGCTTAAGCATACTAAGCCTAAGACTAACTCAGTCTAAGCCTACTACGCTTAAGCTTAATAAGTCAATGCTTAACAAGCTTAATTCTACGAATCGTAACTTACGATACGTAAGACTGCTAAGCTTCAACCTGCTAAGACTAAGCCTACTAAGCCTAAGCTTGCTAAGCTTAAGTTGAACCCTAATTCTACAATATCTAAGCCACAATCTTAAAATAACTCTTAGTATTAATGTTACATTGATCATTGCCACTTTTTAACACAAGGTCTTCGCCTTTATCCGCTGCGGATAAATGCAACATTTTGGGATTAATAAAATGTAAATTGAATTGAGATTAAGTTTGTTACAAAACAGGTTTCATCAACGCCAAAATACCACACACATGACCAACTTGTGTTTGTAATTAAAGATGTTTTGTAAACAGTTTTGAACACAAAATTAGAAATATTTGTAAAAGAGCTCAAATTTTATCCTAGAATTTCTGTCCAAGCCTGCTAAGCTAATATTACGAAGCTTAACTATAAGGTTATTAATGGCAATTTTCAAGGAAAAATTTTTTCAAAAATTCATGTTACGGTATCTTTCTGTTATCACTACGACAACAATATAATGACAGATATAACCGTTTTATGGTGGATTAAAACACTTTGAAATATATGGCTTACTGTAATAAATAGTAGCTACACAGAGTACGCAATAGTGTTTCAAATATTACTTTACGTTTTTTCAAGTAGTATGTATACATACGCGTTTTATAGGTTTCATAATGCACGTGAAAAACACATACATATAATACTTTCTTCTTGTATAAGTATAAAATCTAAAATTTTACAACAACCTATTGAACCTATACACCAACAGCCTTAAGCATAAAAAAGTTAAGTCTAAAGCATTACATAGTAGTAGGAAAAAAAATAAACATAAACTAAAAATAAAAAAAAATATTTTTTGGTTTTAACGCAAACACGCAACTTGTCAAAAGTTTTGTAAAATACTACATAACACACTAAATGCACCTGTATTTCCAAAAAGTAAAAGTTTACTTAATATGAAATTTATTTACAGTAACATTATAATTCAAGGTTTAACATTATAAACGTTTTCGTATTGCATATTAATTACAATTTAAATTTCTAAATTTTGTAAAATTAAGTTTATTTTTAATGAAAAAAGTTTGCAATTACTATGCAACTAATGATCATTCGGTAAAAAATTTGTAACACAAGGTAGAAAACAATGTTAAAATACTTGCAAATTGCGCTAATGAGACATAAACAATTCTTGGTAAGCATATAACTTAACATAAAGATGTCAAACTACAGAGTAAAAAATTTATGTTTTGGAACAGACAGAAACTACACTAAAACATAGTTTCTAAAAACGCTATTGCTCTCATTTTAGTTTTTTTTTAAATTTTAACTACCCTACCCTACCCTACAATACCATTTCTATGTTGCAGCCTACATATGCCCTGCCGTCCTTTATCTTTACCATGCCCTACATTATCTTTGCTTTACCCTTCTCTACCCTGGTTTTGCTTTACCTTGCTCTACTTTTGCCGTGCCGTGCTTTATTTTTCCCTTGCACTACCTTACTTTACCTTTTCTCCTTACCCTTATCCTTCTCAAACCTATCACAACCAAGACCACATTGTATGTGACTTTTACAAAAACAAAATTGTCATGCCAAATGTACCGTAATCGTCTGTTTTTCATTTTCGGTCGCCGTTCCTAATCAGTTTTCAACATTCTTGAACAAACAATTGCCTCGCTTTCACTGATAAAACCATTTTCACGATAGTCACGGTCCCCAGCAAGCCCTCCGGACCTTGTGCTATTTCGAAAGCACTCTCAATGATAACCCGACCTATGCCTGGTCACGTAGCCCCATAAACGCACGTATCACCAACTCTTAAGCATTTTTGGTTCCACACGTTCACTCACCTTGGTTGTAAGGCTTTTCTTATCACTAGTTTGGTCCGAAATTTCAACAGCAAATTTCAACGAATTTTCATGCACATCACTATCAGTAATGCCTTAATGAGGCAGGAAAAACTTGTCAAAAGTCATGCAGACTTTGTGGTCGTCGAAATCATAAGCAAAAGTAAGGTTTTAACGTAAAAAACATAATTTATTAAAAGTTTAAAATATGTTTTATATGTAAACTTTAACATGCAAAAATGAACATTTTAAGCACAGTGAACAACAACAATATACATATCAATAAAAGTCAATTTAAGTTTAAAAATTCTTAACTTAAGAGATAGCAAGAAAATCAGGCTAAACGATGATTAAATATGTTAACACGGAATAGGTTTAAGCTTAGTAAATGCAAATTTATTAGGTTGAGTTTTTACCCATTACCCTAATTTAGCTCTTACACTAGCCTCTACTCTAGCTCATGCCCTAGTCCCTACTCAATATCTACCCTAGAGTTCAGCCAAGTTATTGCTCTATTTCCTACCCTAGCTCCTAGCTCGTAATTCAGCTTTTGTTTTGAGTCTTAGAGTAGCTCCTACATTAGCACATAAATACTCAAGCTTTTAGCCCAATTCTTGCCATAGCTTCTACTCTACATTATACCCTAGCTTCTACCCTAAACCTCGCCCGAACCTCTATTCTAACTTTTACTCAAGCCTCTACCCTAGCTTATGCTTTAACCCTATTATATCTTTTACCCGTCTAAGATGTTTCATATCCTCCCCTGGCTCTACAGTCTAGACCCTATCCTAGCCTTTGCATTAGCCCGTACTCTAGCTCCTACTTTTGCCTTGCGCTATTCTCTACTCCAGCTCTTATTCTTTTTTTTAATATCAGTCCTACTACTTTTTATCTAACCTTTACGGTACTTTTTACTCTAGCTTCTGCCATAGCCCACACTTAGCTTCTATTATAGCTCTTTTTCTAGTTCTTACTCTAGTTGTTACCCTAACTTCTACTTAAAAACACATTGGCTAAATTGTACAACTAGCTCCTATTGTAGTTCTTACTTTAGGAATTTTCTAGATGTTGCCTTAGAAACTTTAATATTTGTTATCTTAGCCCCTACCTCAATAAAAATTGTAAAATTGTACAACTTGTAAAATTTTAGATACTAAGCTCTATGTTGCCTGACGATTTTTAACAAAGCAACGAAAAAAAACAAACATTGAGTCAGAATTTTGTATACACATAATACGATTTTCGTATGTTAGTCATTTGTTTCCAAATCTTAGTGGAAATGTACGTAGTTGTTAGTTGGAATGTAATCAAACATCGTGAGAATGAACGGTAAACGGAAGTATTACAAAGCAAAAGTTTATAGTTTTACCGCAAAATTGTTATTTTTCTGTGCAAATAGTGTTTTGTTTCTCGGAATTGGTATTTTTGCAATGTTTTATTTGGTATATGCGTCAAAAAATTTAGCATAAGGTAGAATTAAATAGGTCTCACAGAATTTTAAAATGCATTAACAAATTTTTAATTACAGTATACAATGGAACCTCCGTATAAGAAACATCTATATAACGAAACCTCCGTATAACGAACAAGTATGAGTCCCCGGCTTTTATTACACAGTGCATTTTTAACCTTTCTATAACAAAACCTCTACATAACAAACGATTTTTCATTATTTTAACTATTTGTTATATAGAGGCTCCGCTGTACTTTGACAGTGCATATTAAATGTCAAAATATAATTTATTTTGGTAAAAACCAAGTAGTTGTAACAAAATATCATTAGTACTGCAGGTTTATCCATTGCACTTTCCGCATGTCTGAGCACATTCCTTAGCCATGAACGATGCGTAAGCCTAAGAGCAAAGGTATTAAAAGCATTTTGAATTATCTAAAGAACATAAAAGTTGGTTTTGCTTATAGACATCATCAGTCAGCTACAGAACTTTTTGGGGTAAAAAGTATGGGATTGATCAATTTGCTGGTGTATTTGCCAAACTTTTCTGTTTTGTACTTTTTTTGATTTTTAAAGAGTTATTGCCATTTCTTGTTTTGTAAAGAAAGTTCTTGCCATTTTGTTTTAAAAAAAAGTCTGTCATTTTTTGTTTTGTAAAGAAAGTTCTTGCCATTTTTTGTTTTGTAAACAAAGTTCTCGCTTTTTTTGAACTTTTGGTTTAATGCTGTTCAAACAAGAGATTCCGACTGTAATGTTACAGTAGCTTAACATATATTTTTTTTCAAATTTTATGTTATTGTCGTTCTTACCGGAACAGTGCACAAATACTGAGTTTTCGCACAGTCTGGTCCACCATCATTACAACCCTTGTTACCATTTCCATTAGCATTGTTGCCGTTTGCGTTGTCCCCACTGGCGTTGCCACTAGCAGCATTACCATCAGCAGCATTACCACTAGCAGCATCGCCATTTCCACTAGCCGCATTTCCACTACCGTTAGCTCCATTGCCATTAGCATTGTTGCCATTGGCATTGTTGGGACAGCGATTGCAAGTCTTTGGACATTGGTCAGTCATCAGTGTGAGGTACAGCTTAAAATTTGGTTTAGTCAAGCTTTCTTTTGTTTAATAATAAAGTTTTACTTTGTTCTACCTTATATAGCCTTGACAAATTAATAATTTTTTGAAAATTTTTTAGTTCAGCGGCTGCAACGCACCAGCTGAATTTTCTTAGTCTAGTAGCTGCACATGAGCTTCAATTCTAACTGGGTACGCTCAGAATAAACAAACTGATACGACTACAACGAGCTTGCGAGTAGACCTCTAAAGAAGCCAGGGCTTAACAATTTGTCGGTTCGGCTTAAAATCTTCTTCCGAATGGCCAGATCTCTTACTTAAAACGTTTTAAATAATAAGTTGAGAAATTTGTTTTTTACTGCTTCTGGACCTTAAGTAATAGCACCTACACTTGTCTTCTTGAGCTTCAGAGGTCGGTCTTGTTTCGGCCCTTGGGCCCACATGTGCCGGCTCCAAGGCCGGGCGCGAGGGGGGGGACCCCAGAAAAAAAATTTTTGAAAAAGTTGAACGTGGTCCCCCCCCTGTGGATTTTCGGAAAAAAAATTTTTTCAAAAAATCGGCACAGGTAGCTACCTGTGCCGATTTTTTAGACCCCTGCTCCTAGACCAAAAGTCCCCGCCCGGCCCTGGCCGGCTCGGCTTCTTTCAAATTTGCTTTAGCCTGACTAGAAGTGAAAAACCGGCCAGACCTACTTTGAAGTTCGGTTCAAACTCGGGCCCAACTTTTAAGCTCAACCCGTTTTCACTTTTTAAGCCGGTCCGACTTGGTAAAAAAATTTATGCCTGGCGTGGCCCGGCCTGTTTTGAAAAAAGCGTAGCACAACCACCCTACTCTACTTGACCTTATTGTACCTTACCCTACTCTACTTTACCTTACTCTATCCTACCCTACCTTACAATACCCTGTCTTACCTGATTATTACACAAGTCAACCCGTTGCGGACACTCCCAACCCTTATCATTACATTGGGCTGCAACGTAAGCCACAACCATACCAAAAACTAAAATCAATTTCATGATTTTTGTGCACAATGTGTGTATCAAACTGACCACATCTCCTTATATATGCCACCTACACTTTTGCTTAATTTACAAATGTGCAAACACACGATGACAGTATACCCAAGAAGGCGTTGGATAATTGAACTGGCTGTGACAACACTACATGTTACAGTTGTAGCTAACAAAGTTTTGTTCTCTAATTGAAAAATGAACATATCTGTTGTTTGGTTTGTAGAAAAGCATACGGTAGGTTAAGTTTTGTAAAAATGTTTAAAAATTTTTTTAAATGTTCATTAACACACAGGGTGTGCCAAGTTAGTCCGGGGACTTTTGGCACACCTTGTATTTTCTACTCTAAACAACCGCAGTTTACGGTCAATGGAATGTAGATATAATATATGTTGTTGATGCCGAAGATTGCATTGAAGTTATGTGTGTATGTTCCTGGATTGATCTAGTTCCTCCTCGTTGCCCACCGGAGCTCTCCTCGGTTTTTTGATGTTTTTCATAATGGGGTCTCGCTCCAGTTTTCACTGTTCACCGCATCACTGATTCGTGGGTGAGTTGCTTCATAGGCTATTGACTTGTCTATCATACAGCTGTGCTGGACAAGTGTTGATGGGTCTAGTCCCCGTGTTTCTAGCACTACCCATTCCTAATGCGCCTGGGTTGGGCGGAGGCGGGGGTTAAATCAAAGTCCTTCCAAATAGCAAGTGGTTGCGAGTTAACTATTTGTCTAGGAGAGTAATTATATTTACTAGTTTCTAGAGCTTAAGATAGATAAACTAAGAAATATGACACCGCGAAATTTAGATAAGTTTACAGTATGTAGTTAGATAGGAACGATGGCTTTCAAAGGTTTTGGCGGTGGCTGTGATTCCTGCTTCAATGCAGCTCTTGCACCGGAGTTGGAAGCAAAGCCAAAGGTAAGATTTAAAATAGCGAAACCAGAGCTAGAACCGGGCTATAAGACGGTATTTTTTATGTTTTAACTAAGTTTTTAGCATATTCTTTCTTGCACTTAGTCTACACTTACTAACATTGTCTACTACAGCTAGTACGCAAAAACTAAGCTTTCGTCCCATATACCGAACATATAACGGATGATGTTGTGTTGAACTCTGTACATATTTGTGTTCAACACAAAGCGAGCATAAATCTTAAACACATGAGATTGTGTGACAGGTGAGTAAACCATTCTAATATGAGGGGGCTGATTATCGTTGACCTAGAGTTTAAGAACAATGTGGAAGACCGTATTTGAATATTTGCCTGGTTAGGATAAGGTAGAGTAGGATAAGGTAGGGTAGAATAAGGTAGGTTAGAGTAGGGTAGGGTAGGGTAGGGTAGGGTAGGGTAGGGTAGGGTAGTGTAGGGTAAGGTAGGGTAGGGTAGGGTAGGGTAGGGTAGGGTAGGGTAGTGTAGGGTAAGGTAGGGTAGGGTAGGGTAGGGTAGAGGGAAAATTCTGCTTGCTTGCTACAGCAGTAAGGCTAGGAAGAGAAACATGACCGTTAAAGGACCAGTTAGCATAAATTTCCTCACTTGTCATTCCGCAACAAAACAGGATCCCCAATCAAGACCGCGAACTCCAAAAAATTATTTTTTTTCCAAGTTATTTTTGTTGAAATTGGTTGTTTCTTGAAGTATATTCCAAGAAACAAGTCTAACTTGTCTCCTACTTGTTGAAAAAATTACAGAATTAACATGTTTTTACTGTTTTTATACGTTATTTTTGTAAATTGTTTTAAAAAGTCGTTTGAAAAGTGTAAGATTCATGTGTTTTCTTTTTCTGTTTTTAATCTGATGTTGATATTTGCTCTAAACCTTTATTAAATGGATCCAACTTCATCGATTCGGTTATGGTTTGCAAGGCATGACATTAATTTGATACTTTTAAAGTCCAAGGACGGTTTGATTTCTTTTTGGTCAAAGTCTGTTATGTTATAGTTGTTTTTTGTTCAATGCTTTAGGTTAATATAAAATACAGGTTGTTTGGAAAGCGTAGAAGGACAAAGAAATGACGCTTTAATGAGGTAAAGCTTAAGAGGACTTCAACAAGAGTTGAAAGATGTCGAAGATTTTACCATATTGTTTTAGGTAGTAGTGAGAAAATTTGGATTGAAAGGAAGAAATGGGTTCAACGGCAGTTCTTGATTGGAAATCCTCATTTGTTGCGGGATGTAATGTCAGAAAGTTTATGCTCACTGACTTTTTAAATACTGAGAAGATTAATTTTTTATATGATACTAGTAGTCTGTATTAATGAAAAAAGAAATTTTTTCAATGTTTTTTTAAATCATTAACATTAACGTTAACTTTATGTATTAGAGAACTCTTTATTTACATCAAACTTTGACAAGTAATTAAACATTCAATATTAATAGCTCAAGTATGATGAACAACGTAGATTTTGTTTTATCCGCATTTTCCACAAGTTTGAGCACATTCCTTGGCCATGAAGGTTGCATAAGCCTGAAATATAAACTTAGGTAACACTACTTTTCTTAACTCTTAGTATTCTACAAACATGTTACACCTGACGTTTTTCTGTAGCATACTTTAACTACGTTACTGCATTAATTATTTCATCTTGTTCCAGCTTTATAGTCATTTTATTTCAAGCTAACATAATCTTACCGGCACAGTGCACAAATACTGGCTCTTAGCACAGTCCGGTCCACCATCATTACAAGCGCCGCCGCCTGCACCTGCACCACTACCAGCCGCACTGCCATTTCCAGCAGTACCGCTGCCTCCAGAACCGCTTGCGCCTCCAGCTGGGCAACGATTACATGTTTTTGGGCATTGGTCGTTCATCAGAGGGATGTACAGCTTAAATTTTAAAAAATCAAGAAAATCTTCAAATTTTTCAACTTTACCCTTCCCTATCTATTGTAACTTGCATATTTTTTTACCTGATCGTGCTTTACTGGTGTCTATCGTATCAGATACTACTTTTCTACTATCTCCTAGAACACCGCACTGTACCTACCGTAATTTATTCTTACCAAGACCTACCGACCGTACCAGCACTGTACCCTTTTTTATTTACCGTACTTCAGCGTACTCAACCGTAACGCCTTTTACCACATCGCAAAACACATTTTTGCTTTATCATTCTTGCCGGGCCTCACTATACTCTAGAGTACCTTATCGTAATCCACCCTACCCTAGCCTACCTTATCTAACCTTACTCTGCCCTATCTTACTCTACTCTACTTTACTCTACTTGCCTTACCTTACAATACCCTGTCTTACCTGATTGTTACACAAATTAGCCCTAAGCGGACATTCCCATCCCTTATCATTACATTGTGATGCAACGTAAGCAAAAACCAAAGCCAAAAGACAAATCCACTTCATAGTTATACAACAATATTATATGTACATCAAACTAACAAGTTTAACTTATATAGGACGTAGAATCCTGCACGTTTGCAGATGTTCAAACACACTTTGACATTGATAACAGTCATTCGTTTTTGTCTTTAATATTTCTTTTGTGACAAAAGCTGTAGGCTTGACAAAGCAAGGTTAGGGAAATAGAAAATGGATGCAAAAACAAATAAAAAAGGCCTGACGACGTAAATAACTTAACTGGGTGGACAAAATTATATGCTACAGTTTATATTATACTTGAATATGTTTGCCCTTTTTTTATGCTTAATAATGACATATAAGTTTTAAAGATAAACCAAAGGCCGTGTAGCAGGTGAACAAACCACCATAACAAGAGTGGGCTGATTATCATTGATTTAAAGGTTAGGAACGATGAAAACGTTGTAAATATTTCCACTTTTGATTCGCCATTTTTTGTGCGTAGATACCGCAGTGGCTGTGGCGCCGCTCGTTATTCGGAAGGACCTTGGTTCGACCCCGTGCACCGCGCAACCCAGACGCCTTGAAGAATGAGTAATGCTGAGTGCACGGGGACTAAGCACATCTATACTTGACCTACACGAGTAAAGTTTATGCTGAAAAATGAATCCTATGCGTAAAAGTGAATTTTAGGCTTAATAAGTTCATTTTAGGCGTAAAAATGAATTTTATACTTAAAAATGAACTTTATGTAATAATAATGAATTTCAAGGTTTAAAACTGATGTTAAAACTTTAAAACAAAGTTTAGGTAAAAAAATTAATTTCAAGTTGAAAGATAAAATTTAAACTTGAGAAACTAGGCTTGCAATTTGCTTTTTAATGTATTAACTTTAATTTACGTTTATTAAATAGCTTTTCATTAAAGTTATTAAAAGGAAACCAAAAAGCAGTTATATTATAATTAACGTTTTACATCTGCAATATTATTATTGTTATGGTATTTTCTCAGAAACTAGTTTGAGGTTGTGAAGATAATCCTTCCACGTCGTTACGCTTTGTTCTGCACGTGGCACGGCGCCACCACTTAATTACGGTGTGCCTGTATGGCGAAATGGTGACAATTGTTACTATCGGATTTCCAATGGGAATCAATGTCATAAATGCACATGACATAGTTAATGCATTGCCAATGTAAATGTCAAAGAAAATTGGTATACATATGGTTAGTACTGGTACCACAGAAATAAAGAGGGGTATTATGTTCTGAAATAACATATATTTAGCCATAGCCATAGCCATAGCCATAGCCATAGCCATAGCCATAGCCATAGCCATAGCCATAGTCTTAGCCTTCGCTTTTGCCGTGAACATATCTTACTCGCAATAAAAAGAAATTACCGTACCTGCAACATAAGACATTTTGAGAGTTGTGTTTGAAGTTTTATTGTTTGTGCAGATTGGAATTGAGCATTGTGTTTTAAAAACCGTACTGATTTGTAAGCAAAGAAAATTGATACAATGTATGTGACACTTGAACATGACATTTGAACCACAAAGTAGACTTTCATCCACGGGCTTTTCTGAAAGGTTTTTTATAATTTTTAATTCTAGCCTACCTTGCACAATTCTTGCTATAGCTATGGTTTTGTCTAACTCTATAACCTTTACTCAAGCCCCTTACTATACTCTCTATTCTAGTTCCGTTCCTACTGTAGCCTAGCAGCAACTTACACCAAACCCCTTACTTCTTCTTATCCTAGACAACCTTCATTTCAATATAACATCATATATTACACTTACTAGATCAGCCAGCAAAATCATAGGTAAAGGGTCTTCTTTGAACCACAATGTTCCATAGTTGAAATCTGGCCTAGCTGTACCGGTTAACATGTAAGTTGTATAGCATAACATCATGTTTGGCACTGCAACACATGCTGACATAAGAAATAACGTTACTGTAGTCGTTGTTGATGGCGGCATTGAACTAAATAAATAGCATAATTTATTGATTGAACATTATCATTTTAATGGTAAAGTAAAAAAATGGATTACTGAAAGAACTTGTGTATTCATAGTGTTTGACTATACTGTATGTACAGTAAAGACAAAAGTTGTTGTTAACAAACCTTTTCAAAGCCAAATACCGATAGTACCCTTGAGCTGGTAAAATGGTCTGTGACAGTGTTAACGCCCATATATAGAAACCAAGTGCTACAACTTGGCCTTCAAAGCTAAAGTTCTTAGCAAAGCTTTCAAATGTTATTAATACTACACCACTTGCTTCAAGACCTCTCTGTAAAAAGCTTTAAATTTTGATTGGTTTTACAATTTTTGCAAGTTAAAGCTTTCGTTGCGGGACCTAAGTTGTATTACTGAGGCCATGGTGTAAGGTCATTCTTTCAGGTCTACATGTGCTGGCCTAACCCAACCCCAAGTTACTCTGATCAAAAAGGTATATTACACTTAAAACACATTTTCTCTTTTTTTCCACTTCAAACTTACAACATGAGTAATATTGTCAAAAAACCAATAAATTGTGTCCGACATCGAACAGAGTAGTAGCATTTGTCTGTATGGTTTAAACTTGCCATCAGTATAATGTAAAACAAGAAAGGATAACATAAACGACAGAATGCCACCCACGACAAAACCTATATTGTAAACGAGACGTACGAAAACCGTAAAGTTTATTTGATAGTAATCAATGTCATCTGCATTGATTGGAACGTCCCATACGTATGGATTGTCCAAGTTGTTTGTGTTGTTGTGGTAGTATCTTAGAGCCATATTATACACAATAAAAACACAAGAACTTAGACCTAGACTTGAATAATATGTTAAAATATTTTAAGCTTAGGAATGACTTTGTATGTTTAATGGGCTTGAGCTTAGTACGCTTAAGCTTAGTAGGCTTAGGCTTAATAAGATTAGTATTAGTAAGCTGAAGCTTAATAGGCTTAGGCTTAGTAGAATTATTATATTATATTATTATATTAAGACTTAGCTTATACTTAATAGACCTTGGATTAGTAGGCTTAGACTATGTAAGCTTAAACTTAGTTGACTTTAGCTTAGTAGGCTTTGGCTTAGTAGACTTAAGAATAATAAGCTCAAGTTTGGTTGACTTAGACTCAGTAAGATTAGGAACTTTAGCCAGTTTAGGTTAGATAGTAAGCTTAAGAATAGTAAGTTCAAGTTTGGTAAAATCAAACCTTGTAGGCTTAGGGCCAGTAAATGTAGGCTTATATTTAGGTTTAAGCTATAGCACCGTTAGTTCACTTTTACTTTTTAAAGCATTAAAAACAATGTGAAGACGTAGTAGCTAAACGTTAAGAAACTTTAATTTGTAGTATGACAAAGCCTCTATTCACGTAAACAAAGTTTAACTATAATATTATTGTAGCGCAAAGTATACTTTATTAGCTAAATACAGTGAAAGGCTTATTAATAATTAAACAACACTGTAAATAGGCTCTTACTTACTACTCAAACTGTTTGTCAGTTTGAGTAGTAACTGCTTTAGTTGGTTAATATATAAATGTGTCAATAATTAACAATAAAAAGGTAGAGTTATTGAACGAGGCTTAATCTGTAATTATGTAAGTTTCTTGTAAAAGCATGGTATGCCATTTGTAACTGGAAGTACATGCTTATTAACGTGTCTACCACTGTTATATTTGAGCATACATTTAAATAATGTAAAGCGTTTACCTTATGAACTCTGTGTAAGCTGATTTACATTCATAAAACATTAAAAAAAGTACTTAAGTGCAGAGTAATGTAACAATAATGGCGGTGCACTAATAAAGTTAAATTTGTACGTTTATATTAATATTGGGTTCACAGAACAAAGTAGGGTGTGGTTTAATAATGAAAGGAAAAGTAAAGTAGAGTAGAGTAAGATAAAACAAGGGTAAAACAGGGTAAGCATGGGTTGTAAAATAAAGAAAGGTCAGACAAAACGCAGAGTAAGATACGGAAAAGTAGGTATATATAAGGCCGAGAAAGGGAAGGTAATTAAAGTAAGGCAAGGTAAGGTAAGAAAGACTAAAAGAGTAATAGATAAAGCAAGGATACGGTAAAGCAGAGTAAAATAACGGTAGGTTAGGGTAGGGTAGGGTAGGGTAGGGTAAGGTAAGGTAGGGTAGGGTAAAGTAGGGTAGGGTAGGGTAGGGTAGGGTAGGGTTTCATAAATTTTACTAAGCAATTCTGCTAAACCAACTTCCATAATGTAAAACATTTATTTTATTATTCTTGATTCATACGGTAGTCTGCACAACACAAAATAAATGTTCAGAGGCATCATACTTAATCTGCTGTTTCACTTTTCAAGACATTATACACAGGACGATACAACGTACTAAAGAGGTTTGTAGAGGCCTACATGGTAACAATAAAATTTATAGTTGAAATGACATTTTTAATGTTATCTTACTATAAAAAAAGTATTTGTGGCTATCTAAACATAGTGACAACATTAGTAAAGTATGTTAACATAACTACAAAGATTTCTCCCAAAAATGATGACCAAATGACGAAACGTGTGACGTAATGATGACGAAATATGATGAGAATACAATAACTTATCATGACACTAAAGAAACATCATAGCGCTACTGCAGCTTACTATATTACTATAGTATCTTATAATAATACTACAGTAGCCCACTATAATCTTAACTGTAACTTAACGCTACAGTACTGACAGTGTTCTTACTGTGAATTTAAAGTGCCGTTACAGTAATTACAGTAAAAAATCGGTTAAAAACAACTAATCAATTTGTAGATATTGCATGGTCGTCCTAGTGTTCGCCCGATTCGGCCGCGTTTACCTCGTAAGCCTTTAAAACCAAAGTTGCCCGACTCGGATTCGGCCTTAAAATCTTGGCCAAACATGTGTTTCCAATCATTCTGTCTTTTCACGACACCTCCTTCTTCTGACGATGATTCTAGTGGGGCTAACTAAAATTTTTAATTAGTTTTTGAAGTTTTAAAGTCAATTTGAATTTAAAAAAGCTTAAACTCTAACCTACCGTACTCTACAGTACTCTACTTTACCCTACCCTACCCTATATAACTTTAAAATTTTTTGTTCTCTACTTTACGACAAAACTTTAGTTAACACCTAATATGCTTCTCAGTGATGTTTTCATTTTTAGTCCAATATTATATTCAAAAACCAAAAAAAAGTATTATAAGAACAACTATATCATCACCAAGGTCATTATTAATTTATCAACTTCTTGAACACACAATGTTGCGTATCTTTTCTAATTAACTTTTTGAAACCCTTGTGTTGTGTACACGGAACAATAAAGTAACAAACCTACACGTTATTATTATCCCTGTTTCAAAAAAAAAATTTTTTTAGGTTTTTTTTCCTTCACATTTAAAAAAATTAAAAAATTTAGGGATATCCTACTCTACCCTACATCACACATCCTACTTTGTTTTACCTAGTCCTATCTTACATTCTACCTTGTTCTGTTACCCTAGCCATGTTGTTGGTGTACCTTTATCCTTTGTAATACTTTGCCTTATCTTTAGCCATACCTTTGCCACACACTTGTCTTACTCTTCACCATACCGTTGCCATACCCTACCTTACAACCTCGTCTTTGCCTTATCTTTTCTATGCAAAGATAAGCAAAGATAAATCTTATAATACCCGTGTCTTACTATTGACATACTTGCCGTACTTTTGTTTTACCGTCTGCCATACCGTTCTATTTCCTTGCTGTACTATTGCCATACTTTTCTTCACACTCTAGTTTACATTAACATACCCTTTCTTACCATACCATACCCTACCCTACCATACCTTAGCTCGCCTTTCACTTTGTCATACTCTTGCTATACCCCTTGCTATACTCTACCTTGTCTTAGTATACTATAACATACCTTACTCTACTATACTCTAATAAACTTTGACTTGCTTTACACTTAACCATATCCCTTTTCATAATCTTGTTTTACCGTTTGCCGTACCCTACTAGATATACCCTTTTACATTCCCTTGCTATACCCTTGAAATGCCTTTGGTTTACTATTTATCATACTCTTGGGCTTGTCAACTTTATATTTAAACTTATCCTACGGTTCAACCGTACCATATTCTATCTAACCCTACTTTACCCTTGCTATAGCTTTGCTGTACCCTACCTAGCTTTACTTTAGATTACTTTTATACTTATCGTATTTTGGCCTTACACAAGCTCATCTTCAAGACTTTTAAAACAAATTTTGTCAAATTTCAAAACTTCCAACTCACTTCAAGAAATCGGAACGCACCAACACAATACGTTTGTAATGTGCACAACAATATGATGAAGAGTACGGTATTAAGGAATTGAGCCCATGCCATTTCCGGTGCTTGTTCGAAAAAATGGCAGCACGGCGGCGGAGAGAGCACCAAAAAAGGAATTGGGGGGGGCGGTGCCTGTTAATTGAATAATTAGAAGCGCAAACAAAAATTGCATTTACAAATGCATTACGGTATAAAATGTTACTAATTTCATACATTTTAAGCCTATTATTCATGAAGGACTGGTGGTTAAAAAGGCTAGCTTTTTTGGTGTTTTAAGTAATGGCAGTATATCAAAATTAACAATTTTGAAAAAAATTTGAAATATAAAAAAAATCAAAATTTCAAAAAAATTAAAAAAAAAAGAAATTATAAACAAAAAATGCCATTTTCAAACCGATGTAAACATGAAAAATGACAAAAAGGTGTAAAACTTCTACAAAACATAATAAAATTACAAGTTTTGTGAAAAACAACAAATAAATCATAATATAATTTGATTTAATGTGAGTTCTTACAGTTCAAAATAATACGTGTAATACCAGGAAGTTGCTTACTCTTTAGTAAACAACAATATAGTCTGAAAAATTGTGGAAGTTAGAAATCAAATTTCTAGTCTTGCACTACTCTAGCTCTACTTTAGGACTATCTTAGCAAAGATTTGCTCCAGCAAGGTTGAATCTCAACATTAGCTCTAAGGAGTAGTTAAGGGAAAGGTAGAGGAGCTGGATGAACTAGTTTTATCCTAATCGAGTCTAAACTTTCCCGGGCTTTACCATAACATAATCCTGGCTTTAATTCAGCCCTGTCCTAGCCTTACACAAACTCTTTCAGAGTTACTGTAAATGTATCCCAATTCTCTTAACCTTATTGTCGTTATACCCTTGCTCTACTTTTCTTTTGCTTTCTATAGCTTTAACTCTACGCCAGCCAACTAGTCTAAGCCTTAATTCACACGTCTTCTTTTTACACTTAGCTATATTCTAGCCCTACTCTAACATTGATCTAGCTTTTTTGGGGCTTTGGTCTAGTCGTGTCTCTACTAGACCTACCCTTTGGCTACCCTAGCGCTACTCTGGCTTACTTCTGTTCTATATTTCTCGTTCCACGCTGCCCAGTCCTTTCTAATTCTTACCCACTTCTTTTTTATTTACATAGCAATACCTTAGCTCTACTGCAATCATAATTTAATTATCGTAAAGCCTGTTCTTATCCCTGCCGTATTACCCTATTCTACGCCTATCCTAATTTCCTCCATACAGTAGCTAAATTTTGCAAAAAATGTATACCTCTTAAGATGTTTAAGCTAGACAAGTAACAGTAAACTACAAACCAAATTTAGAACGAAATCAAGATTCTGAGCATCGGAAAAACAAATTAGTCTAGCTCAAGAGGTTTTTCGGGTTGAAATTGTTAATTCAGAAGCTGACAAATGAGTTTCAGAAAAGAAGATTATGCCAGCTCGTGAATACGTAATGTCAATGGGCAACAGAGGGTTGGTTTGAAACAAACAAACTGTTTCTTTTTTACAACTCATGTTATATTCCAATCCGAAAGATGTGAATGCTAATGGTATAGACCTGACAAAAACTTGCTAAAGCTTAGAATAACCAAAAAACATAATTTTTAACTAGCTAGAAAAGAAGAACCGTTCGGGAAAAGCCATTAGAACGTTAGCAAAGTACAGTAACGGCATATTCATTTCAAAGTACATAGCTTCAAGTTTTGTTTACTGCAATTACTTTTCCTAATTTAGTGTTCAAAGCAAGAACAAAAAAACGAGTAGACTATCATTTTTAAAAAGTAAAAAAATATGCAAAATTTTAAATTTTAAACTTGACCTTAAATTCAAATCTAAGCTTAAGTTTGAGAATGAGCCTATGCCTCAGGGCTTGAACTTGAGCTTGAGCTTGAGCTTGAGCTAGAGCTTGAGCTTGAGCTTGAGTCCAAGCCTAGGCTTGGGCATGACCCTAAGCTTCAGCTTAGGTTTGAGCTTGAGCTTGTGCGTGAGCTTGAGTCAAAATTAAAATCTAATCATAAGGCTGAGCTTGAACCTGAGCCTAAGCCCAAGCTTGAACCTAAGCCTGAGCCAGAGCCTGAGCCTGAGCCTGAGCTTGAGCCTGGGCCTGGGCCTGAGCCTAAGCCTGAACCTGAGCCTGAGCCTGAGTCTGAGCCTGAGCCTGAGCCTGAGCCTAAGCCTAAGCCTAAGCCTAAGCCTAAGCCTAAGCCTAAGCCTAAGCCTGAGCCTAAGCCTGAGCTTGAGCCCAAGTCTGAGCCTAAGCCTGATCCTGAATCTGAGCCTGAATCTGAGCCTGAATCTGAGCCTGAGTCGGAGTTTAGGCCTAAGCCTGAGTTAAGCCCAAGACAAAACCTTACCATAAACGTAAGCCTGAGCTGCAGCTTGAGCTTGAGATTAACCTTGAGCATAGGTTCAGCTTGCGATTCCGCTTAAACTTGAACCTTAGCTTTAGCCTTAGCTTTACCATTAGCTTAGTCAAGGCTTTCTTTAGCTTTAGCTTATCTCAGAAATGATTTTTACCTAGCTTGGTCTACGCTTTGCGGTAGTCTTGTCTTACTTTAGTCCTAGGAATGCTCTAACCTGGTTTCACTTATTCTAAAAATCAATTTATCTTGCTTTAACCATATTTTAATCATAGACTAAAAACCCTACTCCAGCCTAGTCCTATGTGCTACACTAACCACCCTCTCCTAGTATTGCCAATTCTAATACAAAACACACAAAGTAAAGCTAAATAGAATAGTAAGTTCACATGCGTCTTGTCTACACTATAAGGATGTTTATTAGACATTAATCGGAATTTGTTTAAGCAATTAAAGTAACTTAAGCTGTTAATCACTATAAAAGAAAGTAAAATTGCGTCATAATTACAAATGCTACATAAATTTTATAAAAGTAAACGTACACAGAGTCTCTACTACAACACTTTTGCTTCAGCAAGTTTGTTCTGAACTTATTTATAACCTAGCTCTTAATTAATTGACAATTAATTTACCGTTCGCTGCAGCCACCTATCACATGACCGACTGTTACAAATTTACTTGCAATAAATTAGGCATTACAACAAATGATTGATTGTCAACTGTAGAAGGAAGGAACAATGATGTCAGTTTTTACGTTATTGTAGACTCTGTTCACGTGAACTATAGAAAAGTTACAACTTTTTTAAAAATGTTACGGTTGATATCAAAATAAAGTAAACTAAAGTTAGAGTTAGTATTTTACAGTATCTGAAGTATAAATGATCTAAAATCAGGTTAAGAACGCTAAGAATAAAGACAAAGCTTCCTAGGGGAGTGACTTTTCTTAGGTTGGAGTTGCGAAATGAGAAATAGATCATTGGAAAGATCTTGTTTTAACTAGCACAAAAATAATTTTCATATAGTTTGGCTATGGCTATACCTAAGGCAGAGAAAAAGATATCGTAGCCTAGTGTTACACACGGTTATTTTAAAGTTTTATTTTTGTTCGACGCAAGTTATACATTTTAAGATGTAAGGAAGAACAGTGAGCGTTTGGTGAAGACTGTCAGAGCAATATATTGTAGCAGTTACCGACATCTAGTTGAGCTTGTGTTCGAGCTACCGAGTCGTAATGAAGTCCTCTTCAAGACTTTAAACTGGGTTATATACTGAAGGCATCGAGTTTTGAAAAACTTGGCTATGAGTGGATCAATCGAAACCAAACTTGGTATATGTACTCATAAAACACTTGGGACTGTTTTGATATAAAGAAGTGTCAACCGGTTAGTGGCATTTTGTTTTATTTAAAAATTTTGTTTTAGCGTAGAGAAAAGTGGGAATTTATTTTTAACCCACCCCCCCTGTGAAATAAAACAATCTTTCTTTGATTTTGCCAGATCTTTACAAGAAAAAAGTACCTTTTATTGAACCAAAAGAAGCAGACCATCTTTCATATATTATCCAATAGAAACGTGTCCCGCTACTTTTGGTTCAATCTATAATACTGACTTTATGTATCTTACAATTTATTTTAATATGCATTATCTCCAACCTCTTGTAACAAATAACGAATTTACTTTTCTTTTGCTATGTGTTTTCTTCTTTTCCTCTTTGTGTGTTTATTTATATTGTTTGCAGATGTTCATTCGACGTTAGGTTTTTTACAAAACAAAAAAAAACGACGAGCTTTTTTGTCATTTTGGTTCAAAGTTTTGATTGCATAGTAAAAAAAAGTATTTTTGGATTACATGAACATTAATTAATTATTCCTTCACCTAAATAAACAAAAAAAAATAGTTAGCGGGTTAGAATAGGGTTAATGCTGCGCTAAAGTTGAGCTAGATCTGGGGCTTGGGTTTAGGCTATAACTAAGGCTAAAGCTAGAGTTTGGGTTTAAACTTTAACAAAAGCTGAAACTAAGGGTTGGGTTTAGGCTATAACTAAAGCTAAAGTTAAGGCACGGGCTTATATTCAGGATTGGTTTTAACCTTAGGCTTGAGTTTATTCTTAAGTTTGGTTGAAGCTCAGTTCTGCGCTTGGACTTACTTTTAAGCTTAAGTTTAGGCTTAGTTTGGTTCTAAGGTTTAGGCTAGAACTAAGACTAGTTCTAAAGGTATTTTAATTTAACCATTTCTGGTAAAAAAACTAAATAAATTTTTAATTTCTTTCCCCCCCCCCCCTTGTTGCCATGGTCCCAGTAAAAATATGATTTTATTATACATCCTCCTCCCAAAAAATCTTACTCTACCCTATCTTCAATCCTACTCTATCTTTTTTTTCTTACCCTACCTATTGTTTCCGTTTTAATACCCTTTTTCTTAATTTAAAAAAAAATTTTTAAATTTAATTAGATTGCCTAAAGTCACATGCTCCGTTGAAACCTCTTTACACCTTCATATCAGCCATCCCAATGATTAATCAAATCTTTTTTAACTCGAAAATAAAAATCTTTACATTGGTGATTCGTTTCTTCCTCCTCGAAACAGTTGCCCCGAACCTTGAGGAGAAAGTTCATTCCGTAACGAAAAATGACATTATGAACCATTCACGAAGGCCCGTGTGTTTGGTTTACTCGGCTGCGATTTTTACTCCGACATTTCCAACAGGAGGACACAGCTGCTTCATACAGATTCTTACTCGCCTCGCCTTTGATTTGTGTTAATTTTGCGAAATAATGAGTGGGCCAAGTTGTCTCTACAGATGGCAAGGATCACAATAGACTCGGTTTTGTATGGGGCAATCGGCTTTTTTTAGATTTTTATGAGGATTTTGGCGGGCGGTGGTTTCTTTTGGAATGTTGCAAAGATGAGATTATAAAAATATTTGCTTTGAAGGGGGAGGGGGGTAAGAAGAAACAAAGAGGAAGAGAAAGGGCAATAGGCTTGAGAACCAAGCCGGACCAGGCCCACTTTTTGAAAACCGGTTTGCCTTTAAAGCCTAAAATTTAGGTTCAGCCCGTTTTCATTTTTATTTCAGGACGGCCCGGCCTATTTTTTCACGTGCAACGGGCCGGGGTTGTTTTTCAGGCCTGGTTCAACCTAAATAAAGCTCAAGGTTGCCCCGGCTTGATCATAAGGCCTACCAGGCTCGTTTTTCACCCCTACATGGAAGGGTGTAGGGAGAGGAGAACATAGATTTTTAATATTTTAATTTTTTTTATTTTAAAAATTTAGCTAAGCTAGCCATAATCAAACACAAAAAAAATTTTTTGGACATGGGTCATATAATAAAATTTCAAAAACTTTTTAAAACTTTTTTTTATGTTTAAATTTTTGCAAAAAATTATTCTATTCTGCCCTACCCTATCCTACCTTGCTTTACTCTACTTTATGCTACTCTACTTTACCCTACCTTGCTTTAACTTACCCTACCTTACCCTACGTATCCCGTTCTTACTCTACCTTACCCTACCCTACCTTGCTTACCCTTCCTTACCACATATTAACGTACCCTGCCTTAAACTTGAAAAAATTTTCATTTTCAAATTTAAAAAATTTTTCAAAAACCAATAACATTGTTATTGCAAAATAAGGCCGCATCGATCGTACAGCTGGCCAAATCCGCACAGTGTCTATTATTACAACATGATAGTAAAGTAGACGTGGGCTTGTAAACAATCGCTTTATATAATATTATCTGATCTGTGCGACGCGAGGTGAAAGAGTGTTGTGGCCATGTGGCCATGGAGTTGATTTGGGCGGCTGTGGTGTCTACTTTACTCCGCCATCCCACTTTGTCCCTTTCGCTTGCTGCCAGCCGGCAGAGTAAATCGCGAACGACAATCAAACGGGCGCGGGTCTTTGGAACTGCTGGCTTTTGAGTGCGGGCGGGGGGTTAGGGTAATAGAGAGGGAGGGGGTGGATAGGTAAAAAAAGTGCGGGCGGGGGTTTAGGATGATAGAGAAAGAGAGAGGGCGGGAAAGGTGAAAGAAGTGCGGGTGGAGGATTAAAGGTAAGGGCAGCGTAAAAGAAAAACAAGGAGTAGGAGATAAAAAAGCGAGGGCAAGGGTAAAAAATTAGAGTAGGGTAAAAACTAAGTCTATTTTTAAAAATTTGGGCAAAAGCGAGAAATTTCTTTAGGCACGGGTAAGAAAAAAGTTAAGAAAAACATGCAAAGGAGCTGCAAAGGCAAAGAGAAAAACAGGTATAAGCTTCCGGGATGAGCATGTTAGATTACGGCAGGGTAAAGTGAAGCAGGTTTGGGCAAGGCAAAGTAAAGTAGGGTAAGACAAGATCAATTGGGACAAAATATAGTAGGGTCGGCCTATATTAAGGTAGACCAAGGACGGTAAGGCATGGTAGGTTAGGATAACGCTATCTTAGGGTAGGTCAGGGTAGGGTAGAGCTAAATTAAAGTAGAGTAGGTTATGGTTGAGCATAATTATGTAGGGTAGAGTAGGGTAGGGTAGGGTAGGGTAGGGTAGGGTAGAGTAGGGGGGGTAGGGTAGGGTAGGGTAGGGTAGGGTAGGGTAGGGTAGGGTAGGGTAGGGGTAGGGTAGGGTAGGGTAGGGTAGGGTAGGGTAGGGTAGGGTAGGGTAGGGGTAGGGTAGGGTAGGGTAGGGTAGGGTAGGGTAGGGTAGGGTAGGGTAGGGTAGGGTAGGGTAGGGTAGGGTAGGGTAGGGTAGGGTAGGGTAGGGTAGGGTAGGGTAGGGTAGGGTAGAATAGGGTAGGGTAGGGTAGTTTAGGGTAGCTCGTTCTGAACCAACTTGAACGTAAAACAATTGTCGCGAGCAACAAAAAGTGGCTGTTTTGAGATGAAACGTTAAAACAAAGTGAAGAGTCCACGAACCGCGGAGAGGGCCAAGTAATCGGCCACAGATGGAGGAAAAAATAAAACAAAAAAATTCTCATTTTTTTGGGCCGTGGCGTTTGTTCACCACCACGGTAAACAAAACATTTCACTGTCAATGTGATTTTCAGGACCTGGAAATGCTGCAGCGGCTGACTGTAGGGCGAAACGAAAACGTTGTCA